AGGTACCCAGTAAGCTAGTAATAAAGAAAAGTTATTGTCTCTTATACTCTTATGCGTCAAAATAAAAAGTAACATGAATACAGGTCTTCATAGATTTTTTTTTTAAACACTCATTACAGAATAAATGGTTTTCTTTATATTGAATGAATTTACTCAAATTAAGGGTTCTATTAGTTATTTTATGATTTTTACTAATTTTCAATTTTTTGTATATGTGATTAGTGTGATATTCTTATTGGGCTAGTGTAGCTCACTCTTTCATTAACCATTTCATATTAAGAAAAAAAAAATCTAGATCCTGATCAACAAAAGGGTTGTGAGTAGTTCATCACCCAAACTCCCTTTAAGTGCTAGTAAAGGTTGTCTTATGAGCCTTATTTATTCACTCTTTTTTTCTTTTTTTAATTACCATTTATCTTTTAGTAAGGACATTCTCGTAGCCCTATTGGGCATTCTAAATTATTGTGTAAAGAATGTAAACCATAACTCTATTGATCGCTTCTGCATTTAAATTATAACTTCATTTCCTTTGAGGTTCCAGGTCTCTACACAATTTGTGCAGTCCAGATTCATTTTTCGATTAAACTAGATACAAGGGACAAGAGAGGGCGACGTGTTTATGAGCAAACAACCCAGATCAACACGGAGATGGTATTTAACCATCGCGTTCTAAGGAACCCTAACCCAAACTGCACCAGCCCTCGTCAGAGAAGAAGAACCAGATACTGGAGAAAGAGGCCGACCGCCGCCACTGCCGCACCAGAGCCACCATCAACTGCCAAAAACAAATTTTCTCATTCCTACTCGAAATTTAATTGTGAGTCTCCTTGTGGCCATATCCAAGCAAAAGGGACGGTGGGTGAGCCAGAATTCGCAAGTAAAGCTTGACTGAGCCAAAACCCTCTCTGATGACCTCCTTTATGTTTCTCGTTTTACGTAAGTTTTTAACTATTGTGTTCACCATCCCTTTCTGGTGTAGGTTAGCCGAAGAACAACCCCATCCACGAAGGAGGACCGGTGGAGGCACCGCACTAAGAGCCCCCCCCTCTGCAGGTAGGTGTCATTTGTTTATTTTTTCGACCAATTGAGGTTTCATAATATATTTTTTTGCAGGGATACGTGTAAAACTGGCCAAAATTGCCCAAGCCAAGGCGAACCGCCGTCGTGGGTGGCAGGGTCTGTGCTTGCTATGCCAGAATCCTAAAATTTGCCAAAAAGATTTTTCAACACCGATTTTGAATTTTTGAGGTATTTGTGGGTACATGACAAATATTTTAATTTCTGTAGGAAAAATTCAAGAAACTCGATAACTGTTCAGAGGCGTAGTCGATAGCATGTCATTTTGAAACACCGATCCGGGTAAGAATCTCTCACCCTATTCCTTGTTACAGTAAATTAAAGCTTAATAATCGCATATCTTGTGTTTTGTGAAAAATTAGAAGAATCTTAAAAATAATTACAGGTCACTAAGAGAGCTAGAATTGATCAATTTATATTTGTCCTGATTCACTGTTTATTTTTTTGTACTTCTTTAATTGTCTACTATTATTTTGTATGTATTTAATTGATAGTTTGATTGTTTCTCGGTTGTTTGGTTTACCTCACTGCACATTCTCGTATTGGTCTGTTCTGAAATAAAATATCTCAATTATGTTCTTAGTGTACATATCGCCTATTTGCATAACCTACAGTTGATTTGGGAATATGAAATGTTAGTATAAAATTGACGATTGATTAATGATATATATATATGTATGAAAGGCTTACTGGGTACTCTTGGAAAGAGTGGATAGACCCGGTACATAGAGAACCTTACCGTAGACATTACTTCAGCCGAAGAGGGCTGAGAAGTCCTATACCGAAACGATCTAGGAGACATGGTTCACCCTCATACCAGACAAGATATCAAGGCGATGATGTATTTGGCGTCCATTACCGAATGAGGTATGGGGATGGCTAGGTTAACTGACAAATCTAGATATTAGGTTCACGAGTAGGAGAATATCCCTCTAGACCCTCAGAGATTCTAGTAAGCAAGTTAAAAGGAGAATTGTTAATCTTGTTCACTTGTACATAAAATCATAATGTTATCCGAGTATTTATCTTTATAAGTTAATTTTGAAAAACTCGCGACGGTAAGTATGGAAATAATTATTTTCTTTATGTTAAATGAATTTACTTAAATAAAAAGCTCTATTAGTTATTTTATGATTTTCACCAATCTCGAATTTTTCGTATCAGTGATTAACGTGATATTCTTACTAGACTGTGTAGCTTACTCTTCTTTTAACTATTTCAGATCAAGAAAATCAAGATCTAGATCTCGATCGGTAAGAGAGTTGTGAGTAAATTACCTCCCGAACTCCATTAAGTACTAGTGGAGGTTAACCTTCTAGGATATTTATTTACTTCTTTTTAATCATTTACTCGTTTCTTTTTATGAACTGCTGTAGAAAGGACATTCCTGTAACCTTATTGGGTATTCTAATTCACTGTATATGGAATATAAATCCTAACTTTATTGTTTGCTTTCGCATTTAAAATATAAATTCATTTTCTTTAAGTTTAAGGTCTCTACAGAGACTGTCTGCTTAATATACGATGTGTGTACTTGATATAAATATATACGAGTAGTTGAGTGTGAATTTTCATTCTAAACTATAACTATAATGTTTCTGAAGTTAGAACATGAAACATAAATAATCTTTGAAGAGGAAACAACTTACCGAGTATTATAAGAGAGAGTATACGGGCTTGGTACATAAGGTGAACTCTAAGCTGGATGTATCCTCAGTCGTACAGGGCTAGAAAGTCTCATACCAGACAGAGTTGGGAGTTGGTTAAATAACACTCATATCAGACGAGGTATTGAGTCAATTTATAATTATGACGCCCATTACCGGATGGGGTATCGGGACAACCAATAATTACAAAGGAAATGTTTGTGTACCCACGTGTAGCAAAAATTCTTATGGGCTTCCAGTGATACTGGTAATGGAAATGGAAATGGTAAATAACCCTGCTCAGGTGAAATGATAAGGAACTCAAAGTTTTACAGTTATTGATATGTGTGTTAATTGTGCTTTTCACTATGATTCTAATGATATCTTAATGTTATGTGTATGGATGATTTCATGAACTGATAGTATTGTTTTTTTTTAGAATGGAAGCTACCTAATTACATATCTGATATGGTTGACAGTATTTGTGAATGTAAACGAAATTAGTTGAATATAAATTTGATGTAATATGATAGTAATTATAAGAAAGCATGAAATTATAATCAAAAGCAATAATGGAAACTCTACATTAGAGTAATAGGGGGCATGAAGTGAGGAAATTAAACATGTTTTCCTAAGTTTAAAGTTAGTTTTATTAAAGTAAATGTTTCAGTCGGCTATTTTACCATTTTTTACAACACTTTGATGAGTCATTGTATTGTTTAATTTTTATATCCTTATTGAAATAGAGTAGCTTACCCAATTCATTATCCTTTTCAGATCAAGACGTTCAGGACCCCACTCCCAAATGGTGAGAGATTCACTAGGAGATTGTTCCACTCCATCTTTCCTAAATTTAGACATTAATTAAAGTTATTTATTTCATTGTAGTAAGTATTTAATTTAGAGTTTAGATACACCTCATGAATTTTGGATATTTTAAAACTAAATTGTGTAAGGGATGTACTTTTAAATTTTTAAATATTGATTACGCGAGATATTTTTGTAAATTATTTATCAGGACTCTGAATGGGAGTTCGGGTCCTTACAGTAAGATTGTGGTAATAACATATTTTAAATATAAGCATATAAAAACTGATTTAAATACATTTAATGGATAAAATTAAATGGGTTCTAGATGTAAAGTATGTATCTCTTTTAAATATATACATTGTATATATTTTGGTGTTTGACATATATTAACATTTTCTATCATATTTATTTTTTGAAATTGATTTTTTATCACGCAAAAAATATAAAAACTTATATTAATATCCAGCTAATTATAAAGTATTATTTTCAAAATATAAATTATCAAACTTAGTTATTCTTTAAAGAATATAAATTTGTTTCATGGGTTAGCTTAACTAATATATATCTTATTTATATAAATTATAATTAATTTTTACATATCAAAAAACTATTATATAGGATCAAAATATGTTTGAAACAATTATAATATACAAAAAAAAAATCACACATAAAAGAAGTTCATAGTCAAATAAAAGTCTTAAATAGAAAACTTGGGTGAGAGAAGAACAAATTATAGCAAAGGTGAAAGCCACGACTCGGTGAGAGAAAGGTGTAAAACAGAGCGTGCTTCAACGCGGCGTTTCAGTCCACACTCCACTGTTATTTGGACGGTTAAGATCTTTCTTCGAAACGCCAAGAAACCAACAGTGTTCCCCACGTGGCTCAATTTTCTATCCCCGCCTATATAATATAATTTCATCAACCCCTCTTGAACGAGAAAAAATTAATAATGAAATAAAACTTGTCTTCTTCACCATTTTCATTTCAACAGAATCATCGTTTCGGTGTTCTGGATTTTGTCTGGTTCTCTCTGTTTCTGGTTTTAATTTTTCTCTTTTCTGGAAATTTTAGCTCGAGAATGGAGAACATCGATGAGGAGTATACAAACTGGTGGGAGACCAAGAGGTTTTATCAGAATGAAGAATTTGAATATGACAGGTAATTTTTCTTGTTAAGTTAATATGTTTAATCCAATTTTGAACCGGAACTTCACTTGTTCGCTCTTTCGTTTTCATTTTGCTGTTTAATGTACCAGCGCGTGGGGTATGGACGTGCCGCTTTCCATGTACTACGATTCGAGTTCGCCGGACGGAGGAGCATCGACGGCTGCGTCGAAAAATATAGTCTCAGAGCGCAACCGGAGAAACAAGCTCAGGGACAGACTCTTCGCTCTGCGATCCGTTGTCCCCAATATCAGCAAGGTATATAAATGTAACGATAAAACGCCGTCGTTTCATAATTATACTGATCTATTGTGGTTAGGAGCGAGAGGGGAAACCAGTATGGGTATGGAGGGAACCTGATGCGATGGTCAAAGCTTCAAACGACATGTATTTAACTAGTTAATTTTGAACAGGCTGGTATTTTGTTTTTATCTCGGGGTGTTGAATTTTTACAGATGGATAAGGCGTCGATTATTAAAGACGCCATTGATTACATCCAAGAGTTGCACGAACAAGAGAGGAGAATCCAAACAGAGATAATGGAGCTTGAAACTGGAAAATTGAAGAGGAACAATAATCCTGGTTTCGATTACGAGCAAGATCTGCCTGTATTATTGAGACCTAAAAAAATCAAGCATCAATTCTATGACTGTGGCGGGTCAAAAGCTTCTCCTATCGAAAACCTAGAGGTAAGTGACGGTGACGATGACGATGATGATTAAAAAATTTCACGAAGCTCTCTTTCCTGAGCACTGTAGATCTTGACTAAACCTAATTGATTTTCTAATTTGGAATTTTGAATTTGAAATTCGAAATTACAGCTGAAAGTGATGTTCATGGCGGAGAAGACGGCAGTAGTGAGCTTGACATGTAGCAGAAAAACAGATACGATGGTGAAATTATGCGAGGCCTTTGAATCATTGAAGCTGAAGATCATCACCGCTAATATAGTGGCTTTCTCCGGCCTGCTATCCAAGACTGTCTTCATCGAGGTCAGTTACTCTAGCCTTCTTTTTTCTTTTTCTTTTTAAATATAAAAATTAATTTCTATATCATCTCTGTCATTATTCCATTTCGGTTTACCACCTCCTACCATGGAATCCCGCGCAGCAAGAAATAGTATGAGTAAATTAATCTGATAATATTTAATTGATAAATTAGAAAAATTAAAAAAAAAAAAAGGTTTAAAATTATGTACTATGAATCTATGATAACATAAAAAAGCATATTAACAACATCATGTCATATTTATTTTAAAATAAAATAAATTTATATTCACTGGTCGTCTAAAAAATTGTCACTTCTATATGCACGTGGGAAGTCAATGTTCAAAGTATTTTCGACTACCAAAAAATATTCGCTATCTTATTGTATTTTTATTTTTTTATTTCCAAAATTTTAGTTTATTCTTCATGATTTAGTTCAGTTCATTTTAATTCAAACTATGTATTTTTTTTTTTGAAATAATTCAATATATACGGTTTAATTTGTATTATTTTACATAATATTTTTAAAATTTAAAATTTAAATTTATTTATTATATAAGTTAATTTTTATTTCTTCATATTTATAATTTCATAAAATTAAGTATTTTATATAAAATAATTGGTACTAAATTTTTACAAAAAATTTATAGAGTTTGAGCTGTAGTAAAAGTAATATAAATATAACTAACCAATATTTTAATTATAAAATACGATTAGATTTGTGTGGTTATAAATTATTTTTTTATTGCGTTTGGAATTCATGCTTACGTTATAAATTAATTAACATATGGATAAACTTCTATTTTGAAAACAAAAAGAAAAACTAAACTGTAGCAAATTTTTAATTAAAATAATAGTGATAATATTTGGAGAAAAGACCTCAAAAACAAAAGTCTGTATTGTAAAGTTTGTCATTGTCATATATGCTTGCTGTTGCCAGACACTCACCTTTTAAAAGCTTTTGTATTTATTAGGAATTTAGGGAAAAGAAATTAGTTTTTATGTTTCTTCATTTGGGTAAATTATTGTCAAATTTGATAGAAACTGAGTTTCACCTTCAAATTTAAAATACATGAAAAACTGGGCGGCCATGTTATGCTGTCTAACCTTTATAGAAGAGAATATAATAACGATATAAAAGTATTAAAATGGGGAAAAAAGAAAAGCGGGGGGGGGGGGGGGTCAATAAGATTAGAAACCAATAGACTACTTTAGTAAAGTGGGTTTTCACGCCTCATTAAATAAATAAATATATATATATATATATATTCTGCCCATTAAAAGCCAATCATGATTTTTGTGTCATCCAGATTGTACGGCTGTAACCACTCACTGGACAGAAGAATAATAAATAAATAAATAATTTCACTTTAAAAGATAACTAAAGCGAATTAGATACATGTCTAATTAAAATTAAAAGTAGACTGATACCCAATTAAGTATAAACAAAAATATGTTTTATGAAAAATTAAAATTAATTTTTTAAAAATATTTTATAGCTTTTACCATTATTTTAATTATTTATATTTTGAAATTTTTATATAAAATATAATAATTGTAAAACACATTTCATGTATAACAAGAAGCTTATATATTTCTTCTAATCAAAGATATCTTTATTTTAGCAGTAAAACTTGCCACTTATTTATATTTATAATCTTTTTTTTTCCAAAGTACTACATACAAAAATTGGTCAAAATGTAGACAACAATTTATATTCATGATTTTTTTTTTCTACATATAAAATTCGGTCAAAATAGATATCATGTTGTCTTGTCAATTAGGCTAATCATTGTGAGCTGTGCAACAAAGTCATCAAGCTAATTTATGTTAGTCTCTCCTAATCCTTATCTTTTTAGTCGGTTCAAAATAAGTAAATTTTTTTTGAAAATGAGCAAAAGAAAAGTTACCACATTATTGGTCCAGTTGATAAGAAATTCTCTATTTAACTACTTCAGTTCAATTTTTACATATAACATTTTTGTAAACAAAATCTGAAATCCATCATCTCCAATATGATTGAATAGACTTATAAAATTGTGAATAAATTTAATTTAAGTTCAGAAATTAAAACACATTTATTGAAAAATAGAAATAAAGAGAGAAAAATTATGTTCGCATGTTTGTTTGTTTTGTTTTTACTATAAAAATAGGTACTATAATTGTTTTTAATCATTTCATCAATTTTTTTTTCTAAATATTTTATGCTCTAAAAATATCTTACTTTCAGATATTAGATAAGAGAATTTTATGATTTATATCTGCCAAAAAGGACATGTTATTCTTTTTGCAAATTTCCTGGAAAATTCCAATTTTATGGTCTTTGCTTTGTTTGCTTTTGGTTTTCCAAGCACAGTTTGAGACTCGTGGTCGATAACAATCACAAATCAACATTTAAAAAACGCGTTCACGTTTGTATATCTCGTTTTACACGTTTTTAATTATCAACTCATTCCTTTTTCTTTTTTTTTTCTTTTTCAATTCCCATATGGTCTAATTTGTTATCCTCGTTATTCCACGTGTTTTAATTTTTGTCGTAGATTTTTCTGTGTCTGCATCCGTGCTTTTTAATACTGTCCAACTACTTTTGCAACATTTATTAACGTTTACGATTTAGCCACCAAAATTTAAGGAAGAACAAGAAAAAAAATACCGTTGGTAATTTTTTTCCCATCTAATCAAGAACAAATTATTTATATTAGAATTAAAAATTTATAAAAAAAGAACTTTTGGTGCAGCTTTGATAAATTAAGATAAGCTTAGGTTACAGTATCTTCCTTGTAGTGCTTGATTACTTTGGAACCAAACATTAAGTAATTAGTAATAAGTTTAGTAAACAATACACTAGATCTTTTTTTAATGTTAATTAAAGTCATACCAGAATGTTTTTTTAAATAAAAACTAATTTATTTTTAAGGGTTCTAAACTTGCCTCGTCATGTCTAAATATTAAATTGTCAAATATCTTAAGCATGATTACCCAATAACCTTCAATTATTATATCATTAATCAAAGTGTAATAATTGATTATGATGGGCGATGTTTCCATATACTCGTGTATATATATATACACACATATATATATATATATTAGTTTTCCTTTTTCAGAAAATTTGGAAGCTTGACATAGTGGTGGTAGGGTCCACCCAAAAACCAGCGTGTTCTTTGGTCTCTTGAACGAAAATGCAATTGCCTTAATTTATTCATTGTAGTTTGATAGGAAAAATTTTTTGTGCCAATTTCCTCTAGGGTTGTTACATGTCACTCTGTGATTTGTTTCCTTTTCTTCATGAATTAACCTTTTTTTTTTTAATTTGAATCCCTTCACAGATATTATTGAATCTTTTTTTAATTAATACAATTTATTGTTTTATCAGCTACGCGTTTGGTCCAACTAATAAGATATATATTTGTGTATAGAGATCTTTTATGTTATATATAGATTTATTCAACTATCATACTTTT